GAAAGGGGGATTGGGTTGGGCTCACAGATGGTCTAAACGGCTGGAGGCCTGGCGTCCGTCTTCTGCGCAATGCAAGTCTCAGTGCACAGGCAGGCCCCAGCATATACTGCAGGTCGAAGCTGATCGTCTAGCTAAGATATGGCAAGTATTTCCCGAGACCCCACCTCAGCTCGTTCCTGATGTAGATGATCGCGTCGCCCTGGGTCCGATTATCCCCAAGAGGCTTCGGCCAGTTGCGCGTCGCTTTCCTCGCGCCACAGCTTCGACCTGGGATGGTTTTCATCCGCGGCACTTCAGTATGTTGAATAATGAGCAGGCGGAGATCGTCTGCCAATTTATCGATCTGCTCGAGAAGGTTGGTCACATGCCGACTCAGCCCGAGGGGATTGTCTCAACTCTTATGATTAAACAGAAACAACATGATGGTCCAGCCAGTCAGCCCTCGTTCAGGTCTATTGGCATGCTACCAGCGCTCTATCGTGATTGGGCCAGCCTTAGGAGGTCGGCGGCCAGAGAGTGGGAAGCCCACCATCGTCGGCCTCATCTTGCTCACCAGGCTGGCCACTCGATTGTCGAACTGGTCTACAAACAATCCTTGGAATGCGAGTTCAACAGCTCAGCCAAAGATCAACAATACAGCGCCCAGGCCCTTCACGATCTATCTAACTATTATGAACATGTTGATCGGCCTTGTCTAGCGCATCGTGCTGTTGAGTCAGGTTTTCCATGTTGTTTACTTCGTATCATTCTTTCCCAGTCTGCCAGCGACCGTATCGTTTCCTTGCAAGATTGCGCGGTCAGCGTCGGTAAACCTTGGAGGGGTATTGCTGCTGGCTGCAGTTGGGCCACGTACCTAGTGCAGATGTATGTGCTCGCCCCCTTGGACATATGGACACAGGCCCATAGTCACATTAGGCTCGCGATGTTCATTGATGATCTGCTGCTCCAGTGCCGCGGCCGCAGTTTCAGCCTCATCGTTAGCCAGCTGAACATAGCCGCCAGATCGATGGTGGATTGCATCATCCACGAGCTTAAGTGCCAGATTGCCAGCAAGAAGACCCAGGTGCTAGCGTCTCACCAAGCCTTGCAGGACCAGCTCAGGACTAAGCTAGGGCCTCTGGCAGGCCCGAACCCAGATCGTTCGGGATCCAACCTGGGAGTTGAAACTGGGGCCGGCCGCCCCCAGAGAAGGTGGATAAAGTTTCGAAAACTTACGGAGCGTCTTGATAAGATGCGTAAAAGACTTAACAGGGTCCGTATGCTGAAACGTGCTGGGGGTAACACCCACAAGCTGTATAAGACTGGCCTTGAAGCGGCCGCCACTCTTGGAGTTGCGGTCACTGGCATCAGCGGCACTCAACTTGAATCAGCTAGGTCGCAGTTTCTGGCTGCCGCGGGCCCGAGATGCTCGACCCGCAGCCGCAGCTTGGCGTTGCTCGTCCTCCAGGACCCCTTGTGGAAAGCTGCCCTCGGTCCCGCCCTTATGTGGCATCGTTTAGTTTGGGATGCGTCTGCCCGCCCGCACTTGGCCGTGGCTAGTCTCCAGCAGCTGCGGGCTTGGGCAGAAGCCATCCCCCCGAGAGTTTCTAAATCGTGGGGTTCCTCCAGGGGCCCTCTCAGTGCGGCGGTGCTTTCGCTGAAACGTATTGGTTGGAAGTTCCAGGGGCCGTTTACCTTTGTGACTGCCTCAGGTCTTGAGTACCCACTCCCAGGACAATCCCCCGCCTTCCTCCAAAAGCTCATGGAGCACGACAGGCACGGCCAGCTCGCCTCCAAGGCGGCCGTCAAGCTCGGCCACGCGGACGCTCAGTTAGATGTTGCTGCTGCTCGGATTGCTCTCTCGTCAGACCTCCCTGGACATCAGAAAGGCACCCCACTCGCCTTCCTCACCCAAAGTATCTGGATCATGGAGAGAGCCAAAGCAGCAGGATATGATGTTCCAGTCGGCTGCGAGTGCGGCCATCATTCGGATAACCTCCGCCGCAGATTATTGCACTGCCCGAAGACAGAAGAACTCAGAGCCACTCACTTCTCGGATGCGGAGCTTCTGCGTTTAAGAGAGCCCCCTTCCCCAGGCCCCTCTTTTGCGTCTTGGGTTCCAGCTGGTCCCTGAGTTCCGTGGCGAGCCCCCTCCTGGATCTGGTTTGGAGTTTGGGGAGTTTTGGTGTGCTCAACAAGGTCTCACCCCCACAAGAGGCCTTCAACGAGGGGGAAGTGTATATAGATGGCAGTTGCACCAATCATGGGCACTATGTGCTCAATGCTGCTGGCTTCGCTGTTGTTTGTATGAGAGACGGCGAAGTTTTTGCCCATTTCAGTGGCCGAGTCGGCCAGGTGTTTTCGCAAACTGCTGGAGCCGCGGAGCATTTGGCTGCAGTCGCGGCCAGTCCCATGTCTAGGGACATCGAAGTGATTTACCCTGACTACAAGGGAGTACTGTTGCTGCATCAAGGCACCGAGTACCCCCGTCGCAATCTTTGGGCTTGGTTCAAGGTCTTGGCTGGCAGAGGGTTCTTTCCTTTAGGGTCGAGGCTCCAAAAGATCAAAGCCCACCAATCTGTACAAGCCCTACCCGTAGGTAGCGATGTCCGCCGCTTGGCGGAAGGTAATGATGCCGCGGGCCGCCTGGCGAAGGCCGCAGCGCACAAGGGCGTTCAGCCCAGCGAAGATGAGCAGTGCAATTTCGCTGAACATAAGAAGTTCGCAACGAAGTATCTCAAGTATGTGGCTCAGGCTCTGGGAGAGTGGCCCGCGATTGCCCCCAGAAAAAAAAACAAAGCCCTGGCCGCCCCAGCGAAGAGTCTTCCTCCCCCCCACGGGTGCTGCCTCTGCCCTGACGTCGCGGTCGCCGTCGTTGGTCGAGCCTCCTCCTCCTCCTCCGCCAGAGCCTCACGAGGTCCCACGTGAGCCCAGAGAGCCTTGGAGGTTTCACTCGTGGGCGCTAATTTCGCAGTATTATCGGCGCATTCGGTGTAGGGTGCAGACGACGCCAATCAAACAGAGAGCAGTTCTTGCGGCCACGGAAGGTCCTGGTCACTGCAAGCAGCTGTCAGACCTCGTGCATGATAACAAAGGCCATGAATTGTTTTATTATGAACACCTTGATCATCCCACGAGTATTCTGGTTTGCCACAAGTGTGGATCCTACCCTGAGGGGTTGGGTTGAGGGCTCACTGGAGGCTGCGGCACCCGAGTGAGCCACCAAGGCGCGGCTACTCAACTTGCCCGTGTCCAGAAGGGTCGTGATCACAAGGGCTCAAAGTCGTCCCCGATCAAATATAAGACCCCCGCTATCCCCCTGGTCAGATTGGTTCGCGAAGAGCAAGCCAAGGTCAGAGGAGAGGAGGCACCAAGTCCTCCATAGTCGGCCGTGCTCTCTCACGGCGGACATCGAACACCCCATCCGCTGAGTGCGTGTCCTCCCCACCCCTCTCCCCTCCTCCCCCTCCTCCACTCCTCCTCCTCCCTCCCCTCCGTCCTCAACCGCCATCCCCCCGCCTCACCTCCTCCTCCTCCTCCACCTCCTCCTCATCCTCCTCCACCTCCTCCGCCTCCTCTCCCATCCTCACCTCCTCCTCCTCGTCCTCCTCCTCCTTCCTCCCGCCTCCTCCCCCCCCTCACTCCTCCTCCTCTTCCTCCTCCTCTTCCTCCTCCTGCCTGCTCCTCCTCCGCCTCCTCCTCCTCCTTCGTTCCCACCTCCTCTCCTCCACCTGAACCCGTCCCTCCACATTACCTCCGCCTCCTCCATACCCCCCCATCCCTCCTCTCTCCTCCTCCTCCTTCCTCCTCCTCCTCCTCCTCCTCCTCCTCCTCCTCCTCCTCTTCGTCCTCCTCCTCCTGGCCCCCCCCTTCACAGCCCCCTCCCCCCCCTCCTTTTACCTCCTCCGCCTCCTCCCCTCCTCCTCCTCCTCCACACGCCCTCTTCCTCCTCCTCCCTCCTCCACCTCCTCCTCCTCACTCCATCCTCCTCCTCCTCCCTCCTCCTCCTCCTCCTCCTCCTCCTCCTTCCTCCCACCTCCTCTCGCCCCTCCTCCTCCTCCTCCTCCTCCTCCTCCTCCTCCTCCCCCCCCTCCTCCTCCTCCTCCTCCTCCTCCTCTCCTCCCTCCTCCTCCTCCTCCTCCTCCTCCCCCTCCTCCTCCTCCTCCTCTCCTCCTCCTCGCCCCCTCCTCCTCCTCCTCCTCCTCCTCCTCCTCTCCTCTCCTCCTCCATCCCCTCCTCCTCCTCCTCCTCCCCTCCTCCTCCTCCTCCTCCACCCCTCCTCCTCCTCCTCCGCCTCCTCCTCCTCCTCCTCCCTCCTCCCTCCCCCTCCCCCGTCCCCCTCCCCCCTCCCCCTCCTCCCTCCACCCCTCCCCCTCCTCCTCCTCCCCTCCTCCTCCTCCACCTCCTCCTCCTCCTCCTCCTCCTCCTCCTCCTCCTCCTCCTCATCATCATCATCATCATCATCATCATCATCATCATCATCATCATCATCATCTTCTTTGTCTTCTTATTACTCGTCTTCTTCGTCTCCTCCTTCTTCTTAGATTTATTATTATTATTCTTCGTATTATTAATATTATTCTTACTAGTATTAGTCTTCTGATTCGTCGTCGTAGTATTGTTATTTTTATTATTGTTAGTATTATTAGTATTCTTATTATGCTTATTATTATTATTATTATTATGATTATTATTCTTCTTAGCATTCGTATTATTATTAGTATTACTATCATATTATTATTAGTCTTCTTCCTCTTCCTCTTCATCCTTCCTCCTCCTCCT